TATTCTTAATTTAAATTTATTTTCTATTTTTTAGTTTGGTTTTCTATAAAAAGCGTGTTTTTAGTTTTTTTAAACTATTATTTATTTAATTTTATTTGAAACAAAAAAATTGACATGTAAAAATTAAAAAAAATTAAAAATGGAATTTTTAAAAAATAATTTTTTTGTTAAAAAATAATTTTTTTAAAGTGATAAAGTGACTGCTAACTTTAATATCAAGAATTTTTCTTATTAAAAAAATTATTACAAAAAAAATCAGCATGTAAAAAGTTTAAAAAAAATTCTAAGTACAATTTTTTAAAAATAATTTTTCAGAATAAATTCGTTTTTGTAAAATAAAATTAAAAAATGATCAAGTAACTGCTAATTTTAATGTCATAAAAAAATAAAAAAATTATTGAAAATTTGTTCATTTCTTCTTAGTATTATAAAATAAGGAATTAAATGAATGATAAAAAAATATATATGTATAAGATTATTATATTTCTGTTGGCATTTGAATTATCATTATCATTTTTTAATAACAGTTCAACAATCACAATAATGTTATATTATGTCTAAAAGTTTGATTTGAATATACATATACATAATACATTTTGTTTATTATTCTTAATTATAAATGTACGATAGTCTCATTTATTTATATTTTTAATTAATTAACTTCTTTATTAAATTATAAAAAGCGAGAAAGCAGAAATTTAATAAACGTACTCATAGCCTTCGTAAACTTCATCCCTTAAGTACGGCTGTTGGATGTATCAATATTTATGATAATCACCAAATGCTCTGCAGGTAATTAACAAATTAATTAAATTTATGTATATTGAATTTGTCACGGTTATGAATAATTTATTCTATAATCAGTTAATTAGCGTACGTTTATTAATTTCATCAGCTTCTCGGTAACTCAGTGTTATTTAATTAATAGAAGTTATAAAATTGAAACACGGAATTAGATTTGCCCTGGTAATCTTATTCGCAATGAATTTCTGTGTTTTTATTTATGTTAATGTGGACTACACCTGTAGACCAAATTGAGCAGATTATTTTTCTTTCATTTTTAAGATTTCTTTTTATTTTACTTCATATTTCGTACTTAACTAGATTACATAATTCTAGAGCAACATTTTTTGTAGCTTCATTATAAGTACTAAGTATGTATTTCATATATTATACTTTTGTTCATAAATAATTATATTTTTTTATTTTATTATTATTACGTGAAGCGTAGGGTTGTGGATATTGGATTTCATATTCAAAATAACTAACATGTAAGCAAATAAATTGCAAAGGTACGTTCATAAAAAATACATTTTTTCATTAATTATTTTTTGGTTTAGAATATCTTTTTTTTTTATGATTACAATTTTATCTTATCAATTATTTTTTATAGGAAATGGAAGATCAAATTTAGAGTTACCTTCATTTTATCAAATAAAAAACATCGGCAATTTTAATTTCAAACCAACAAAAATTTTTTTTCTTTAAAAACTAATTTGTACCCGGAGAGAAAATAATAGATCTTATTCCTATGTAGAATGGTAACCATTACTATGTTACATAGTAACGAAATTTTTTCTGAGAATTCTGTGTAAATTTGCTGATAAAAGTCTTAAAATCTTAGAAATTGTAATAAAAATTGAAACAACAACCCATTGGTTGGGGAATTAAATTCTGAACATAATGATGTTGTTTTTTTATTTTTTTGATAAAAATTTCAATTTGTTATTAACAAAAAACATAAACAAAATAAAAAATGTCAGTTTTTCGTAAATAACTCAATAACTATAGATCATATCGAAAATCGGAAAAGGATCCTTAAAAAGGAGGAAATTTCTGAAAAAAAGCCTCGACTCCCAAAACTCTAGCTTGAAAAACAATAATTTTTATTTAATGTTGAAAATTGGGTTCCGCGCGACATAAAAATTATTGTTTTTTAAACTAGAGTTTCGGGAGTCGAGACTTTTTTCAGAAATTTCCTATTTTTTAACAATCTTTTTCAGATTCTCGATATCACCTATAGTTATTGAGTTATTAACGAAAAACTGACATTTTTTATTTTGTTTATGTTTTTTGTTAATAACAAATTGAAATTTTTATCAAAAAAATAAAAAAACAACATCATTATGTTCAGAATTTAATTCCCCAACCAATGGGTTGTTGTTTATATTTTTATCACAATTTCTAAAACTTTTATCAGCAAATTTACACCAAATTCTCAGAAAAAATTTCATTACGATGTAACATAGTAATGGTGTTACCATTCTACATATAATAGGAATAATAAGAATAAGATATATTTTTTTCTCTCCGTGTAAGTATAAATAATAATACAAATTAAAATTATTTACTAAACCAAAGCATTCGCAGCCACAATCAAAATTCTATTGATGACAATACTGACTTCATTTAACTATTTTACCTTGTTAGTGATTCAAAATTTTCCACTTAATTTTTAACTAGCGAGCGTATTGAAAAAATACAGTACCAAACTATGTTGAATATTTTTGGACGCAATTGCTGTCTGTACTGTTGTATATTTAAATATTACAAGTTGATTATAACAATTATTTCATTAATTCAAAATTTTTTTAAGCTTCGTTAACAAAATAACAATCCAATGAAAAATTTAACTTCAAAAACTCGTTAAACCCAATCTACGGCACATCGATACAAGCTGCATATATTTTTATTACCTTGCACTAGCGGTTCTGTTACTATAATAATTATAAAAAACATGGACGTATGGCTTTTTTTTTTTTTTTTTGGTAAATTATGATTAACGCGTTACAATTCTATTCAATGTTGATTATTGATTACATTTTTGTGATCATACACTTACATTTATTTTTATTTTTGTGACACAAGTCTATACATTTAGTTTTATCACGATTACGTAAATTAATTGTTATAAATTATTAAATTATGAAATTTAAACAATTTAATTGACTACAATTTTTTTTTATTTTTTTTAGTTACTTTTATTTTAAAAAATTCAATAAAATTTAATTAATTTATATTATAATTAAAAAATTTATTACCGTGCGTTAATTTTTCTAATTTGTGCACTAGATTTAAATAAAAAAGACATAATAAAATAATTATTCTATCAATAATTGGCATGAATTATTTTATACGTCCTAGTTTTAAAATAATAGTAATAATACTGATTTTTCTTCTTAAGGATAGCTTCAAATACTGATTAATTTTTGGCCGTGTATTTTACAATCAAGCAGTGAGCATTTTTTTTATTAAAATAATTAAAAATAGTAAAATGAAGAAATATAAATACCAAGTAAAATCTAAATGGATAATATTTGTTTAAAATTTTTGTTTATATAAAACTACTTTCTGTAAATATTTTATTTAAAAAAGTACGTGACAATTAATATGGTTAACAAAAGAGGTGTATATAAAGAACATTTAATCGTTCAATATATTTAATAGGAAAAGGGAAGTAGTAAAAAGTCTAATGACTATAACAAGGTTACAAATAAGTTGACATTACATGGCTCGGCATATTTTTGGCATGACATAAAAATTCAACCTCTTACTAATTAATTATATCAATTTTTTTTTTAATTCAATAGTATCGATGATCGCACGCATACTTTCATGTTTCTAATCTAAGTTTATTTTTTTTATATATATATATATATATATATTATATTTACTTTAATTTAAAAGGATAAAATTCATCTATTGTATATCTCACGGTGTAAATCTGGGGGCGGAATACTTTGGTATGCAGGTTGAGTATCACGAAAGTGTGATCTTATCAAAAGACCAAGTCCTAGGAGTACTACTGGTAGACCCAAAAGTGCGCAAATTAATTCGCCTGTTACTCCTGGTGACCATGTTATTATTCCTATAATGTTAGCAGTTAATTTTTGGAGTTAATATTATTGAAACGAAAAAAAATATAATTAGAGATATTTATAAATATCTATTAATATTGTTTTTTGATAATAATAATTATTAACTTTGTATTTTATTTAGTTTTAAAAGATATTAGCTCATTCCGGCAATGGACTCATCAAGAGCTTTTATTTGTGTACCCACATGCATTTTGATATATTTTTCATATATATACTTATATATAAATATATGAAAAATTGATGTGGGTACTCAAATGAAAGGTCTTGATGAGTTTAATGTCGGGATGAGCTTATATCTTTAAAAATGTCAATATTTCACAAAATTACAAGGTTATTTCTTAATTATTGATATTTTTAAAGATTCAAGCTCATCCTGATGTTACACTCATCAAGAGCTTTCATTTGAGTACCCACATGCATTTTGATATATTTTTCATATATATAATATATATAAATATATGAAAAATTGATGTGGGTACTCAAATGAAAGGTCTTGATGAGTCTAATGTCGGGATGAGCTTATATCTTTAAAAATGTCAATATTATACAAGATAAAAGGTCATTTTTTAATTATGTATCTAGAGATAGAGCATTAATTTTACTAAAAAAAGATAGAGCTGAATTTCACTAAAAAAAACTGATTTTATCTTATAACTTATCCTGGAGACAAAATTTTTCTTGTTCTCTTAATAATATAGATAATAATAATGATAATAATTTTAGAAAAGAAGAAATGAAGAAGAATATGCGTATTTATTTGTAAATAGTTTTCTCACCTCCATTAGACCCAACATCCATCTTGTAAATACTCCACCAAATGCCAGAAAGAGGGAGAGAAATTGTAGTAGCGGCTACGGTGAAGACAGCACTCTCACACATGGACAAAAAATTCAGGATTGATATGGAGAATGCGATGTAGGAAAAAAGAAAAATCCATCCGTGGTTAGCTACTCCAATGCAAGAGCTGCTGCTTTTAAAGTGACACTTGAAGCCGTGCTCAATTGTTGTGTAGAGCTCTCTTGGAGTAAAACCCTAGTGCCACACACAGAAAAAATAGTTAAATATGTTATATGTTGTAAGTTGTAGTTTGTAGGTTGTCGCTGGCCGGAGTGAGGGTGAGGGAGCGAAAATGTGCACCAGCATACTCAAGTGGATGAACGAATGTGTTTTTCATCGTCATGATTGATGAGGTAAGAAAAATACCAAGTTCCAAATAAAAATGTTAAAAAAATAACGGCTAGTGTGAATTTTAGAATGAAAAATATTGGATTAAAGTGTTGAGAAGAAGTAGACAAATAAAAAATTCACTGCAGAATAAAAATATAAATAAATAATACTGTGATACGATGAAAAATTTATTCTTACCAAGGAAGAAATATAAGATTTAGAGAATATCGATAAAATAAAAACTAGATCCAAAAGTTATTTTTATTTCCGAAGAAATAAAACTAAAAACTGTGACTTAAGCAATTATTAAATTTTATAAATTCGTCTAATTTTATTTTTTTATGGAGTTTTAAAAAAAATAATAGAATTGCATAAAATCAGTTGGTTGCTCCCGGAACTTTAAGTTTCAGTTTTATAACGGAAAGTTTAAGCTCTCTACTTTTTTTTAAGTTATGATAACTTTTATAAAACTCAAGCTTTTTACTTCAATATTCAATAAAACGCGAGTAAATTGACCGAAAAAAAGGAAGAAGCTCTCGAGAATGTGAAATAAAATAAAATTTTTTCTTTTTTCAACGTCTACTTCATTTAAAAAGTATTGAAGTTATTTTAAATGAAAATTCTTCGCAAAAAAATTTAACAATTATAATTTCTGTTTATATAGTACAGAAAAAAAAACTTACCCGACCTATACCAGGAAGAGTATCAACCCAAATAAACGCCAGGACGACTATGAAAGAAATGGCGTGAATGTGGAACAAAGTTCTAAGTATCGGAGGTTTGGGTAAGTGCTTCTGCTTGATCGTCGGGTCTGGATCAGTGACGTGTAATAAACGGCCTCCTTCTTCCTCAGACCCGCGGCGTCTTATGTCGCGGGATGAGACCAGTCTAGAGACGGTGTAGAGGAACGAATTGTGCTGAGTCGTCAGCAAACGGCAGACACTTTGCTGCTGGAAATTAAACGTCACCTCAATCTATTTTATCTTCTACTATATATAATTATTACATAATAGATTTACATTATATTAGAGGATTTTCGGAATGAATGACAGATGTTACTTACCCCCGTGGTGAAGTGGAGCTCCAGCAGGGTGAAGACCAAGGCAAACACTGCCAGCGAAGCCACATAAACTAGAGTCCAAACCGCTCTCACGCCCCAAGAACCTCTCATCGTTAATGTGTGTGCAGACACTTCGCGACCGCGACACCGAAACTCGTCACACAATCCGTAGTCCACGCTTATGAACAAACCGACGATTATCGTTGTACTGGAAAATATACGCTGCAAGCTCATCACTGTAAGTTTATTTTTAAATTATGTTTTTATTTCTTTTATTGATAAATTTGTTCAATACATTTTTTTCATAAAATACTAGCGACCTTGCAGTCACTGTGTGACTGCCGTGATTTGTGAACTATAAGTAAATAAAATTTTGCTTTATTAAATATAATGACTTTTGTTAAATTGCACTGTACTTTCTTAAATATTGACGTTTTTAAAGATATAAGTTCATCCCGATGTTACACTCATCAAGAGCTTTCATTTGAGTACCCACATGCATTTTCATATATTTTTCATATGTACATATATATAATATATATAAATATATGAAAAAAAGATGTGGGTACTCAAATGAAAGGTCTCGATGAGTGTAATGTCAGGATGAGCTTATATCTTTAAAAATGTCAATAGTTCACGAGATACAAGGTCATTTCTTAATTATGTAGCTAGAGATACAGCATTTTCGAATGCAGCCTAAATACTTATCATCATAAATTGACTATTGGTGAGAATGATATGAAACCTTGAAAGACCTTTGCAATGACACTAAATTTCACTAAAAAAACCGATTTTATCACATGACTATCTTGAAAACAAAATTTTTCTTATTCTCTTAATAATATAGATTTGTAGTTTAATTATTAAAATAGTAAATTAATAAGTAAAAGAGTAAATAAATTACTACCGGTATAATTAATAACTTGTTTTGTAATTATTCGGTCAAATGCTCACGAGTTTTGTAAGTAAAATTAATTATTAATTACTAAGGGAAAAATCAATCGCTATACAAATATTTTATGAGAGTTTTTAATTAATTTATTAATTAATAAGAATAACAATAATTAGCGTTTTAATTAAATTTGTACTTGAAAAAAAAGTACAGAAATTTATAATTAATTTAATTTGCATAAAACATTCAAAGAAGAAATTTCAAAAGAATTTTATTGCCTCTGTATTAAGGTTTATTATTGTGCATGAGAAAAATTTTTCTTTATAAAAAATTGTCTGACAGTAAAAATGGGAAATTCAGTGATTTACTTGAATAATTTATACAGAACAAGCTTTACTATTGTCACTTGATTTTAAGGATGAATGAACAATGAGTAATATTCACGCTCTCAATACGACAAACTTTGACGGAAGTGAATGTCATTAGTTCCTAAGATAAATAACTTCCCGTAGAATGTCAGCGCAATATTATGTATCAATATTTGCTCAGACACTTCAATGAATAATTCTATATCGCTTGAATGAATATAATAATAATAATAATAATAATAATAATAATAATAATAATATCATGATAAAATTTATTTAAGGAGAAAAATAAGAATATTAATTATAAAAAGTGTCAATTTGTTTGATATTTAAACTTTTATAAGTAGCCATTGTCATTTTTAAATTGTCAAAGTACATAAATCGAAATTTGAACTTCACTTTTTTCGCGTCAAGTTGTAAAACGATGCAAATTGACATCATTGGATACTCTGGTGCTCAGTTTCACTTCAATATTGATTACTTGATGAAAATACTATTTGAAAATTGATGCCACTTAAAAATGATCAGATTAAAGGGCTTAATAATTTACTGTCAGATATTTATTAATCTGAAAAATTACTATTAATATTTTCTATTAAAAAATATCAATTTAAATTACAATCCAATGATTTAAAAGGTGAAGTGAAATATTCAGTTTCTGTAACTAAATTTCACTTCAATATCGATTATTTAATAATAGTACAATTTAGAAATTTATACCGATACCTCCGCTTTGCATTATCGGATTAAAGTACTCAATAATTTAAAGTGAGACGAGATGTAATACTTCAAAATGAAAAGAGTCCTTGAAATAGAATTTAATTAAATAAAAGTAGTGTAATTAATTTTTTACTTCGTCACTAATTCCAGTCACATTTATTGGCTTTTTCACCGTACCGGAAAGCTTTTTATTTAAATAACTTATAGTTATCAAAATTACAAACTCTAATACAGGAATAACTTTTATTAAAAAGTTTTATCGAGGTATTTTCAAAATTTATTTTAATTGAAGTTTACTTTGTCGTTGGTATTTGTTTTTTATTTATTATTCAGAGTACCAGGACTCAACAGTCGGGTCAAAAAAATCAAAGCTATTTTTACTGATATTGTTATTGTTATTGTTATTGATACCAAGTGAATAGTTTAAAAAAATCAGGACTTACTCTTGCGGCAGAAGAAGAAGTAATAAACAAGGGAGAAGACAAGCGTTATACCCTTGATAGGATCCTGAAGGTGACAAAGCACTCGATTTTGATCCAGTGAAAGTGTGACGAGTATTCCCGAGAGCGCGTAAAAGCAACTTATTTTCACGAGGCTACATCGTGGTATTTTTATCTTCAGACTATTGGGAATCAGTGTCGGTGGAGGTGACACTTTTTCACCAATGATAGTCATCAATCCGAAGATACATGTTGATAAAAAGGCTATGAATAACAATCCTAAGATAAAAAACATATAAATATACGTTACAATTTACTCTTTACATGGAAGAAAATACTATTTCAAACAGTAATATTCGCTATGTGAATGTCTAAAATGTTAAAGTATAATAATTAAGGATTCAGACTTTGATATTTATCATTTCGTACCTAAAAAATGATCTTATGATTTATAAAAAGTATAAAATAAAGTTAGTAAATTTCTAATACAAGCAACGTCAATATTTACAAAGTAAAATGGTAAATTTTAAACGCAACACTAAAAATCAAACTGTAATTATTGACTTGCTTGGACTGGTAAAATGTATATTTAAAAAGTATAATTTTTACTGTTTCAAATGTTAAATTCTCCCAGAATGAGACTCCCTTCTCTTTCATCTGAGTTCCCCTTCTCCTCATAATATGGACTATATATTGAAATGGCAATTTTTATTGTTTGAAATTGTAATTTTTTAAGATGAAAGAGTCGTTATTTACTATAGTGACAGCTACTAATCATTTATTTTGGATATTAAATTATAAATTGTAGCTTTTATACTTTCTACATTAAGTTCTGTAATATTTATATTTTTGCCACCCCGATGTCCGTTTTACTGTTTGAAACTATAAAAATTAATCGGAATCCGAGTGAATATTACAGTTTACTTTTTTCCGTGTGCTTGATTTTACGGCGCATTTATGATAAAAAATGTCGTGAAAGAAAAAAATAAAGATTTCGATAGTTGCCTTCAAAAGTTGGAAAAAATTTTGGCTTTCATGTTTTTGGAAAAAATTTCTATTTTATCTTTTTTTGATGTTTTTAATATATTTTTTTTTGAAAAATACATTAAAGAACGAACTATTTAAAAAAAAATCTTGAATATCACAATTTTCTAAAAAATTTATAAATTTTTTTTGAAAATTTGTTAAAAATGTGAAAATCAACTTTTTTTAATGTATTTAAAAAAAAAAAAAACATATATCAATGAAATCAAACAGAAATTTTGTTAAAAAAAATGAAAATTAAAATGGTTAACCCCACTTGTAAATATTTATCAAATTTTTATAATATTATTTCTTCGCATGATTAATTTAAATAAATTGTGCTATCAATTAGCACAGCGATGAGGATAATGGGAACAATGATTAAGTAATTATTTTTGAGTATGAGATTTACGTCAGTTGGAGTAAATCGACAGCTCGTAATATCTATCTATTATAACAAGAGACAGCTATCAGCTTTGTTTCGACATCCTATGCTGTATAGTATTATCAGTGGTTCTGTTATCTCGGTCTTTACTACTGGATTCTGAATTCTGCATTCTGCATCAGGGAACAGAGAACTAAGCCGTGTAGTGTACGCGGTATTATACACACGTATATATTTACCGATAATAGAAGTGGATGGAATAGATGGTAGAACGAGTGAATTGATCGAAGCTCGAAGCTCGCACAATACACAAATACCTGTCACTTGTATAATAGCGTGTAAAATGGTTTTGCGCGGGTGGGGAATAAGGGGTTAGGTGTAGGGTAATAAAAGCTGTAAGAGTATATTGCGTTGACTGTGTACCTGTGTAGGCATTCGCCGTTCCGCTTACATTCTCGAGGTACAGTGGCAAACTGATGATAGAGGTTGTTACCGAAGCTGTGACAATGCCCAAGGTGGCCAGGAAACTAAACCTTTGCCAACACGGCTGCTCTGTATCAAAGAGCTTATCACTTGGTTGATAAGTCGTGTATGCTGGCTCCTCCGTGTCCGTGTACTCTTCTATTTCTACGTCACTCCCAGTACGACGTAGTTGCTCATCTTGATCGTCCTCGTCTATCATTTTTGTTATGCAATTTTTTAAAATCGCCAGTTTTGTTTTTAATTTTCTTCTTTTTTTATTTCTAAAATTTTTAAATTTTTAAAATGCATTATTATTATTATTATTTTATATTAAATAATTTTTTATCTAAATCCCAAGAAATAAATTGTAGAGATAAAACTGTATAGTAACAAAACCTGCAGCAAAATAAGACAAAATTGTAAGCAAATATTTCTTCCTTAAAAAAAGATTTATCTTTAAAAAATAGTTATATTTTTCTCTAGAAAAAAATTCTAGCGTTTCAATTTATATTAATCTTCACAAATTATAATTTTTAAAAAATTTTTTAAAAATTTAAAAAAAAAACAAAAAATATTTTTATCCAAGCTTCCTAATTTACAATTTCTCTTAATTAAAATTTACCTTAAAATAAAAGATGAATTAATTCCAAAGTTATTTAATTTAATTACACAACTTTCAATTGACTTATAAACTTCATTTTTTCTATTTTCCCTCTGCAAATGTAAAACACTAATGTAATTTACTTTAATAAAGATTGTCAATCTACAAACTAAAGTAAACTACTATACAAATAAACATAAGGATGATAATAATAATAATAATAATAAATAATGATAATGTATTTTTATACCCGCAAACCACAAAAGGTTTATAAGAAAATATTTAATATTTACTTTGCGTGTACATCGTATGGCTGATCGGCAGAATACACAGCCTTGTGTTTTATAATATAAAGTAAAGTGTATTATAATTTTTTATCATACCTAGGAAACTATTGATTTTTTATTATGCATATACTGAGATAAAAGAGCGCCAATTAGTTTATCACCCCGTTGATAATAATAATTATTAAAATAAAAATCATTAAAAACTATCAGCGTTAAATTATCGGCTTAATTTAATAAAATCACTCAAATAAATTCATTCGATTTCATTGAAATATTAATTAATTTCAAAGAAACTTGTTAACCCGGTCTTTAAATATTACCGTCGATGTACACGTAGATTAAATATACATGGTCTTACCCTCATACATACCAATGACAATCCAGTACATGCACAATATGCATACACCGATACGATAAGAGAGATTAAAGGAGCACGGCAATAAATTATGCAATAAATATCACTTTACGCGAAAAATCTAAGGTATAATTTTACCCAGGGTGTAATGAATGACTGCAATAAATCATTTTACCGCGATATTATTCATTCGATTTAAAATCGCTAATTACATACTATTATTAAGATACATCTTAAAATAAAATTTATATTTTTTAAAAATTACTCTACAACTCAATTAAGTTTAAAAAATTTTTTATTAAAAATTAATAATCCAATTGTTACCTTTTTTTATGAAAGTCCTAACTTGACACCGCCCAAAAGATAATCTTGGGAGCTTTCACAGGAATTGTTTATGTTTGAGTAAATTCCACAAACGTTCTCATGATGCTTTATGTGTGTAAATATATATACATATGCATACATACAATACTTATGAGTATATGTATAGATATATATTATTATCGCAGTTATTAATCACAATGCCGATTAGCACAAATGTTTAGATATTTTTAATAAAATATTTAGCGAATCACGATTAAAATGATGATGAAACAGAATGTATAAGATTGGTTGAAAAAGCTCAGTGAGAGCTGGGCAGCTTGAGCTTTTGCTGTATCCACTTGTTCTCTTTTCACAGATCCTTGTGCGCACACTCCCGTTTCGCGCATGAACCTTAATGACACTTCAATGTTTATTTTTAAAAATTTATATACGTAATTTAGCTTAATTGCTCATACCTTATTACTTATTGCCTTGAATGATAATTAGTATTTTTATTTTTATTAATTTTTTTTATATCAAAGTTTAAATTATTCTTATTATTATTAATATTATGGGGAAAAATTTTTTAGTTGGAAAATTGTCCAGTGTAATCTTGATAGTAGAGTTACACGCCTGATTTTTTAATCTGCTTGATTGTGTGATTACTAGATTGGTCCTCTGACTATTTAATGTCAATGTCTCTTTTTTTTTAAAAAAATTATTAATTACAGTCAACAAATAATTACATTTATTTATAATTAGATTCAATAATTGTTTAAAAAAAAATTGTTTTTATTGTGACCGAAATTTCAATAAATTTTTTTTAATTAGCAGCTTACAAGACTTTTGCAATTGAAATAAAAATTTTGAACTAATTAAAATTTTATCGTAAATTTGCGGTTAAATTTTTTTAAAAATAAAACTTTCACGGAAAAAGTAAACTGTAATAAATAATAATAAGTAATGATCAACTGCTAAAAATTACCATTTCAAACAGTCAAATCGTGATTTTACTATTCACTTTATAATATTTATCATTTAAATGTTACAATTTACTCTTTACATGGAAGTAAATACTATTTCAAACAGTAATATTCGCTATGTAATTGTCTAAAATGTTTAAGTATAATAATTAAGAATTTTGACTTTGATATTTATCATTTCGTACCTAAAAAATGATCTTATGAAATGTAAAAAGTATAAAATAAAGTTAGTAAATTTAAAATACAAGCAACGTCAATATTTACAAAGTAAAATGGTAAATTTTAAACGCAACGCTGAAAATCAAACTGTAATTATTGACTTGCTTGGACTGGTAAAATGTATATTTTAAAAGTATAATTTTACTGTTTCAAATGTTAAATTCTCCCAGAGTGAGACCCCCTTCTCTTTCATCTGAGTTCCCCTTCTCCTCATAATATGGATTATATATTGAAATGGCAATTTTTACTGTTTGAAACTGTAATTTTTTAAGATGAAAGAGTCGTTATTTACGATATTGACAGCTACTAATCACTTATTTTGGATATTAAATTATAAATTATAGCTTTTATACTTTCTACATTAAGTTCTGTAATATTTATATTTTTGCCACCCCGATGTCTGCTTTACTGTTTGAAACTACAAAAATTAACCGGAATCCGAGTGAATATTACAGTTTACTTTTTTCCGTGTTTGATTTTTTAATTGAAAAATTATAAATTTTAATAAAAAAACAATTTCTAAAAATATATTTACTGTTCTTAAATATTCTAACCATTTAGAGATCCACCGGTAATTCCTTCGGTCATACAGATTCCAAAGGATAGAGAATCACATTTCCGACTTAGGTATAAGCTTTTAAAAATAATTTATTTATCAAACCTCGCTAGCTTGAAATGGACAGAATTAGAATTTAATTCTTTCAGAAGGAAGTATCGAAAGCTTAGTGCATAAAAATAAAGGATAAAGCAAAGAAATCAATCGATATAAAGGGTCAAGTGGATTGAGATATATCATGCATAATGTACAATACAAGTTCGGAGTTTCTCTGTAAGAATATCTGTTTTTACAAACATGTAATTCTTTGAAAGAATACATAAGGAGCTCTAGTGAGGTATTTTCCGAGCTTTTGACCTGGTTGACAACTTAAACACCGGGTGCTGTTATAAAAATGCATATACAGCAAAACGCGTCAAGCCTTTGACGCTTTGTCGTTAGCCGTCAACAATCGGTAAGGAGCTAAAAAGCGGTAATCTGATTCAATATTTCTTAAAATTCAAATTTATTATTAATTTGATCCATAAAAAAGTTGTCAAATTTTTTTTTAACTTAATAGACAGTAAATTTTTAAAAAATAAGAGAAACAATAAATCTCATGACGGCAATTAAACTTTAATGAACTTGAGAAGATTTTCAAGGCAAAGTGGTACAAATTGTAGGACAATGAAGGGTTAGATTTAATCCTAATGTAGTATGAGCAATAATAATGAATTAAGGAACTTAATGTCTTAGTAGTGTAAAGAGTACTCAAGATTTAGAATAATAATAAAAATAAAAAGAGTTATTTATTAATTTAAGGAAATTAAATAAAAATTTTTGAAGGCCTCAATCTTAATCTTCTTAATAATTTTTTTATCTCACCACAAATTGATTGTCTGAGAAATATGGAAGGCAAAAAATACGGCGGGTAAAAAATTTGAGTAATTAGATCAGTGATAAATCGATAGAATTTATTTGACTGGTTACTGGCGAAAGTTAATTTAGCGGCTGATAAAGAGTAACAATATTTTTTCTCAAGTACCTTTACTTTGTTCATCTGAGGCAGTAACGAAACCCTGGAGGCAATCGATAAGAACTGGGTTAATACGATCAGGTAAAGCTCTAGACTTATACTTCTTTGGTCTACGCTAGAAAATACTATATTTAGATCGTTATACTTGAATTACACGCATTACATGTCGTTATGCTCGTTTTTACCCTTGACTATCCGATACCGAGACGCTAAATAAACATAACTCGCGAAAAACTCACTCCGAGCAATAATTTTTAACTCGGTTTAGTCTGAAGTTAACTTTTTTTTTTATATCAATATTTGTATAAACAGTTTAAGTCTATTTTTTCCTCTTGATTCAATATTGATCTTTATATTTTGTCTACTGATTTAACTTTGAAAATAGAATTATTAAAAAATTTTTTTTGCCTATTTTTTTTCCTATCTAGAATACGGAAATTGGATTTTTAAACCAAGTGCGTTCTATGAATATTTTTATTAAAATTTTTTTTATTTTTTTAATGTCTGCTTACTGTTTCGCTGTAAAGAATAATTATTTGTCGTAGAAAATTATGAAATATTTTTAGTCTGAATAAGGCTTTCAGTACTAAGTTGAATTTAATTAAATTAAAAATTAAATTGCAATGTATGAAAATAAAAGCTTCTTTTCAATGGGAGCTTTTTCGCGTTGGAAAAATTGAAAAAAACAGCTTGAAATGGTTGAGCCCAGCGCGACCGTACTCCATAAAAATTCAGGATTAATATTTTTATATTTACCATTTTCTATCTTTTGTTTGTCCTCCTTTTATTTACATCCCTGTTCATTTTAAAAAAATGTATACCTGTATGGCACTATATGGTGAGTTTTTATTCTATATTCGGTTTTCCCAACATTATATTTATTAAATTTATTTACAAAATC